TCCAATTTCTATTTGACGCTAAGCAAAATTCAGTGAAGACCTTTATATATTCAATTCAATTCGTATACCAATGAGTTTTCTTTGGTTGAGAATTCAAACAAAATGACCAACTCGTCTATTGAATTCGTGCTGACGAATTGAAAAAAAAATAAAACTCAAAAGTTTGTTCATTTAATTAGTACGGATAGAGAGTTTAGAAGTTGAAAGCAGCTTTTTCAAATACATGAGAATTGCAATATAGCTCCAATTCGAATTTGTCGCTAAGCCGGATGCACTGAAGCCCAGAGTATAATCATTTCAATTTAACTGTATTAGTTTTCATTTGCTGGGCTGCCTGCCAGTTTGTCAAATTCGTAAAAAGTAAAATTAGAGAAAATGCACTTCAAAATTTGTGGTTCAATAAGTATAAATTTTACGCGTTTCAATATTTCTCTAATTGGCAATCCCAGTTCCATGAAGTGCTTACTAATATAATAAAGTACCTTTGCAGGAGCCTTTCTGCGGGTAAAAAATTCGGAATAGACAATAAAATGGGGGAGGGGGACGCCTTCGAGTTTAGACAGGCTCTTTAACACCTACCCGACTCCTCGATGCGTTAGTCTCGTAACTTAAAAAATACTTTAGATTGGCCTCTAAAACTTTAAGTAAATATTCTTAGATGTATTACCTAAAGGTTTATGCCAAAAAAAAATTTTTGATTTTTGACTGTAAAGTAGGATTCCCCCTTAAGGTTATGTGGGAATGACCGTACTTGTTCTGGTCAACCCACTAAAAACCACACCCTTTGTCTGGACTAATCCTCACATTACGGAACTGCCGTCAAGCTTTAAACTTCGTAGGTGAACGTCCCTGGGATCTCGCTATCGCGATCCTTGCCATTGACGATCTTTCTGGATTATTTATTCTTCGTTCGTACGAGAGTATTTTTGGACTCCTCAAGAGTCGTCTTGTAAACTTCGCATCTTCCGCTGTCTGCGATATGGTTAATTATCTTCTTATCGCCAAACTTTTCTCTACATACAAAGCAGCTTGGGTTTCTACTACAGTTTGCAAACTTATGATTGGCTTTACCGCGCTTGAAGCACGCAGTAGATCCCTACTGAAAATTCTCATTTTTTCACAGTTGAGATCAGTCTTGAATACTATAATAGCTGAGACTCTAACTCAGAAGATGTATTGCAAAGCACAATTTTTTTCTTTTCAGTTGAATTGCAGTAATATTATTTGATATTTAATGAAATAATTTTTATAAATTGCCGTCTGCCAACTGAAAATTCCTATATGAAATCCTATATTGTTTCCTTTATATAATTCTATGTGAAATCTTAGATATAGATATTTCAGAATCTACATGAAATCCTATATGATTTCTTATGTCCAAATCAATCATATCCCTACCGAAAGAGTGGTACTGGAATGGTACTGAATTGGACTTGGCTTGAGTTCCACTTCAGTACCACTACCTGATAACCCATAAGAAGACATTTTTAAAGTACTTTAACAATAGTTTTAAAGGTATATAAGATCAACAAACCGTCTCTCGCGAAATACGTGTAAAACAGCAAAAAAAACATAATAGTTTGTAGAAAATTTCTGTTAAGTTTGGAAATTATATTGCAATCCCTCCTTGAACAATAGACCCCTAGGTCCTTTGTTGAAGGATTAAAATTTTAACCCGAGTTTTATTGCTTAAAAAATTTGTAATTTTAATAACTCAACTTTAAAAAATATATATTCAGATTCGTTAATATTTCCAGATTATGAATATCTAAAATTTATCATAAAATAATTACATTTAAAAAAGTTATAATTTATCTCGTATACCTTAAGTTTGATAAAAAAATGGACATCATTTTTGAATTTAGCTGACAAAGGAAATATCATATGCATAATAATGTATGAAAATAATATAAATCCATGAAAAACAAATATAATATTGAAATAAATATAAAGTTTTAGTTTAAACATATTGAAAAAGCTAGTCGCTTTTCACTTTTATGAGGGTATTAACGGTAACTCGACCCTTTTCGCAGGTAAATTTCCCAGTTCCATTTCAGTACCAAAATGCACCAAATTAGTACTGAGTTGGTACTGAGCCCTCAGTTCCAATTTCCCAGTACCAATCCAGTACCACTCTTTCGGTAGGGATATATGATCCCACGTGAGGATTTTTAATATGATTTCATGGCAGATTTTTTGTAATAATTTTTTATTCCAGAATCGAAAAAAGATTTGATGTATGATTTGATATAGGAAAATTTCTAGTTAAGGATTGAGCAATGAATTTTAGTATGTTTTCTAATGACAAAACAAAAAGGAAATTGACATAAGAAATTGAAGGAAAAAATGGGACCAGAAATAATTGTAGGATTTCACATAGGAATTTACATAATTTATTACTTAAGAATACGTTTATAAGAATTTACATCGAATCCCACTTCAAATCATGTCTCAATTTCCTATATGATTGTTCATAAGATCCTTTTTAGTTTCTTACATGACACATAGGATTTTATGTGGATTTTAATATATGAATTTATGTGACATCCTATATGAGAATTTTCAGTAGGGATTTGTCCGCTGCCTTACAAACTCTTTCTATGTGGCCAGGCACCAGTAGCACCAAACGACCACCTTCTTTTTATTGGGTAACATGAAGCCAATCCTTATGCGTCCCACTTTCTCCAGCCTGTCCGCCTCCTCTGTGTCGATGACTACAACCGCGAACTTCATTCCTCGTCAGTTGGGTCCTAGGACCGTTACTCTCTTGCTTTCTGGCATCTGGAGCACTTCCGCCAACGCCTGTTAGACCTCTTTTTCCTGGGTAAAGCAATTCCGGTCGCGGATCTCAAGTTTGACCTGTCAATCCACATTCTGCACCTTCCCCATGCTTCCAAGCACTTTGGTGACCTCAGCGGTAAATACCTCCTTATTAAAGTCTCCTCTGATTTTGATCAGGAGATCTCCGCTTCTTGTAGGCCTTGCGCCCACGATCTGCCTGTTGCTGACGTCTAGATTCACTTACCTCCGAAGATAGTTCAGTACGTCGGCATACGTTGTTCAAGTTGATGCTCGGATCAGAACTGAAGATCCATTCGTCGCTTTCTTCTTACTGGTTTGCTTAGGATTCGGTGTTACTGACACATACGAAATCTTTTTGACAAGAGGTGCCTCCTCTTGCTTTTTCTTCGTCGCCTTTGCGTCAGTCCTTTCCGGACAGCCAGATCTTTTTCTTCGTTTCTGCACCTCTATGACTGCACGTCGATGACGCTTATCATTGATGCGCTCTCTTTTCCTATTTCGCTCTTCTCGGTCCACCTCCGCATTCCCTATAGCGCCAGCCAGGTTGCTATCTTCATTATCTGCTAGGGCGTGCTTTGTCTTCGCCTCACTGACAAGATATTGAAGAGTATTAAGTTCGTCCTTAATAGTCATGTTGACATTCTTCTGGACTTCGCAAGACTTTACCATCTTGGCAATCTCTTCTTCGATCCTCTGAAGACACTCAGCTTCTTCCTGCCTAAGTTTTAAACACTTCTCGCGTTATTCTTAAATTGACTCTTTGTTTAGGTCAGACGGAATCAAACTTCTTCCGGTGCTGACACTAAAAACGCTTGAAGCGCTTTCTCTTCTACTTCCAAGTCATTTCAAACGGACCTGAGATATCTTAAGAAACTGAATGCCCCCATGGTCTATCCTCCTTGTGGCATTGAATGCTACAGTACCCAAGGTGTCCAATACTGCGGCATTATGGTCACTGGACAAGGTTTACCAAGAATTTACAAGACTCTTGGTAGCGGACAACTTTAAATCACTTAATTTAGAAAAAAAATGTCACAGACAAACGTTGTCATTTAGGACATTATTTACACTCACTATGAATGTGCGACAATACAAGTACATATCGATTTTAATAATCTAGATCAGGCGATAATATAAAAAATTCTTAAAAAAGAACAAAAAAAAGTACCTTTTGGTAATAAAAAGCTGAAAAAAGTAGTAAATAGTATCTTTTAGTAGATGAGTGCGAAGCCTGTGTACAAAAATTAGTGTAATGGCCTAATAAAAATATGAGAAATATAAAATTTTTAGAACAATATTATGGACAATTGTAGTTAAAAATTGCAATTCTTCTCCATTATCTTTGTAATTATTTTATTGTTCCACTATTGGTGTAAAACATTGTTGATGATCAAGCCACTTTTGTTTAGGAACCATTTTAAACTTCCTTATCAAACTCAGATCAACAATTGTAATTTCAGCATCAGCTTGTTCTTTTTTAAATTTCGTAAGTGCAGAATAAAGATGTTAGAAAAATATTTTTATGTTACTGGTATATTTACAATTTCGACAAACTGTTTTTGCTAAAATTTACGTTCGTGGAAGTGTACACTGAAAAAAAATTTATTTGACTCAAATAATCGGTTACTTGACTATTATCAAATTATCATTATTTGAGTCAATTAAATGATAATTGTTTCAAATACAGGAATTATTGGTTCAAATACAGTTTATTTGATTCAAATAAAAATTATTTGGTTCAAGTGAATATTTATTTGATGATAGTCAAGTAACCGATTATTTAAAAAAAAATTTAGTATATAAAAGTAGTCGGTAAAATAGTATTCGGAAACAAAATTTTCGGTAATTTAAAACATTTGAAATAATGTACAAGAATCGATGGTGGTAGATGGAAACTATTATTTACATGATAAATAAAATAATTATTATAATTAAATTTTTTTTCAACAACTTTTCTTTGAAATATAATGCATGGAATCATAGCTATAATATTTAAGACTTACCATTCGCTTGACAGATTCAATTTAGATTACTATAAAAATAAAACTCCAATAGAAGAATAGCTTCAAGTATTAAATGATTATGAATGTGCGAAGATATATAAACTTTAAGAATAATAATTAAAAATTTAATGTTACTGTTTTACCTCTTGATTGTGCAACATTTATCGGCGTGACTCTGAGTCTGTTGTGATTTAGGTGAACATGGATAAAAGGCGACGGAATTCAGATGCTGACGATAATGGAAGGGGTGCTTCCTCCTATTCGTCCAGGATTCTCTCTTGGTTCAGCTCGGTACGCGGAAAGTCTATCTCCACTTGAAATCATTTACTTAACTCTTCCGGGTCTAGTTATGTATATATTAAATAAGTACTTATCTCAATTATTAACCTTGAAGAACTTGACCTGTAAGTATTGGTCTTTCATTTTTTTTATCATTTTTATTAATTTACTACAAATAGAGAAATTTTAAGTATATAAATAAAAAAAACTCAATTTTTTTCAATCAATAAAAAATGAAAAAAATTCCTTAATTCTTAATGCTTACAAATCTGGACGAGTTCTTCATTATTTTAATTTTGATGTAATTGTGAATTAAGTATGCAATAATGTTAAATTATTATTGATCCTGGAAGTGTTAAATCAAACATCTTTGCACATTATTTCTATTTTTTAATTACACAGGTCTACAACGTTTTTTTTAGTTATCAGAATGGTTTCCAATATATTTTTGTGTGCTGAACACAATCCCAGATTTCAAAATTGCGTATCACCTCAGGATTTTGAGTAAAGTGGGGATAAAGACTCCAAAAACCGTGTTTCTAAGGATTTTTAGTATTTTTTTCTCCTTAACCTAACGTGCTAAAGACTTCTATATAGGCGTAAATTACTGAAACCCTTCAGAAACAAAGTTTTTAGACATGTTTACCCCCACTTTACTCAAAATCTTGACGTGATACGTAATTTTGAAACCCAGTATCGTGTTCAGCACACAAAAATACATTGGAAACCACTCCGAAATCTAAAAAAAAGTCTTATTTTGTAGACCTGTGTTATAGATATATTCTAAGAGGTTTAATAGCTCATACTTATTACTTTAGGAAAAATATTCAATCTCTTTTGGTTTTTAAGACAATCTCGAAAATTTGAACAAAAATTTCCTGAACATTAATAGTTCTTTTCTAAACTTTAGGTATTCTCTCCAATTTTCCAAATAATTTATTCGTTTTAGATCCGAATGGAATCAAATTAGATTTTTAATTCAGACCTAGTTTTCCAAATAAGAATCAAATCAGATTCAATAAAGAATAAGCATTCAAATTAATGGAGTTATTAATAATAAATTGTCATTGTCGAAAATTTCTCATTTTCCGCAATTTAATTACAAGTAAATGAAATTATTAAATTATATTAAAAATTTATGATTTGATTTATAATGATTCTTTGATTAAAAAATAGTACATTTTAATTTAATAGTTTTTAGAAATCTAAAAAATTAAAATTCTAAAACTTATATTTTTATCGTTAATACTTTATATTCAGTACGTTTAAGTTTAATTTTTTAATTTCATTTATTTGTAATTAATTGCTAAACAGCATAAATTTTATACACTTTTTATAGACATTTTATCAAATTCATGTTTTAGAATTATGTGCAGAATCATTTTCACAAAGTATCTTAAAATTAATAACTGTAACCAATTTTTGCGATTTATATCTTGTAGCTTTACAAAAGTCAATCAGCCTCACACAAGAAAAATAAAGTTTCTTGTCCCTCAGACTTGACTCCCTCTTCTATTAAGTATTTTGAGATGCTGAAGACGAATCCGAAGTCAGATTTGCTCCATCACATCAGAATTTTTTTAAAAGTTTGATTGATTTACGTTAAATTAAGTATCTAGATATGTTTAGGGTTTTCTAACAAGAATCTGAAGTTAGATTTGCTTTATTAAGATAGGATTTTTTCTCACTTCAAAAAATATGTCGGATTTTATGTGGCGACGAACTAATTTTTTTAATTTACATGAAACTTAATATTAAAGCTGCTTTTACACCTTCTTCGTTTTTAATAAGCGATGCATTTTCACGGTGAATCACTGAATTTGAGTGGCTCTAACAATATTCAATTTTCACGGTAGAAATTGAATATTTGTCAGAGACAATCAAATGGTTGTAGGACACATTTCCCAATCCATTATTCCCACTCAAATCTTCCCAACGGACATATTTCCCAAAGCAGAAATTTTGCTCCCAATATTGAATACAACTCCAAATTTCTGTAAAGTTAATTTAATATAAAGGTATATTTATGTTTATGATTCAAAAATCCCTCAACGTGTAAAAAATATCCTTTTCCCTTTGTTTTTATTAACTCAGCCATTATTAACTATAAATTTTAAAACTTGATTGAATTTTAATTAAAAAAGTCTATACAATTTTGACGCAGTTTGATAAGACTAAACAAAGATTGAAGGTTGTAAAAACAATAGATTGGAAAAAGTATAATTTGTGAAAAAAATATGTTGCGAGAAGCATACTTTAGGGAAATAATAGCTTGGGAAAAGTGGACTATGGGAAAAAGAAAGATTGTGAATTTTAACTATTGGGAAATGTGTCCCATTCAGAGATTCGACCTTTTAAATTCATCGCTCGCTAAAAACCAAGAAGGTATAAAAGCACCTTAAAAAGTTTTTGCTGTTGCTTATTATGAATCTGAAGTCATTTTCAGAATTGAAGAAATCAAATTTAGTTTGTCCACCATATCGGATTGCATCAATCTTCAAAAAAATTCGTTTGACGCTATATAAAATCCGTCATGATTTTTGAGGTTAAAAGAAATTCTAATGTGAGGAAGCAAATCTGTCTTCAGATTCGTGTTCACTCTATTGAAAAAAGAGCAAAAATATGACAATAAATGCGACTACAAATATGACTAATGAAAACCCTTATAATACGGTAGCGAATTACATTAAAGGTCGTAGTTATTACTTTTTCTGCAGTCGTACTTGCGGTCACATTTGGGGTAACTATCGATAACAATTGGAATTTAGTTCGAGCAAACAACTTAGTCCGAAATGAGTCGAAAATAATCTTGATTTTCTATGTAAACTATTGGCAAACAGTACGCAACATTGCGGATTCTGTACTGTCAAAAAACTGAATCCGAAATGTGTCTGGAACAATCAAATCTTTATGTTAAAAATTCGGCATAAATTCTGATTGAATCTGGTAAAAAATTCTAATCCAAAATGAGTCAGAAAAAATTGTGAATTAGTATGTATAAAAGCAGCAGTCAGTACTCACAAAAATCTTAATCAGAAAGTAGTCCAAAATAATAGGAAATACATCGAATCCGGATTTAGTCAGGTCAGCAATCTTCATTAAAAATCTGGTATTAGTCTAACAATGGTGATTTTGTACATAAAAATTCCTAATTATTTCGAACCCATTTCAAATTAATTTTTTTGTTCTACCTAATATCGTATTTTAACAGATTGATTTCGTAGAAGTTTCGGACTACTCCTGACTTATCTCAGATTTGTATTTTTGTCTACACTAATTCCGGATTAATTCAAATCATTTTTGGACTGTTTTTCGTACTCCAATCTAGATAGATTCAGTCCACTCAAAAATCTGAATCCGAAATGAGTTTGAAATAATCCGACATTCTATATTAATTAAACCGAAACAATTCGATTTATGATCAGGTTTTTATCATCCGAAATTAGTCTGATTAAGTCCAAATAAGTCCTATTTGAGTGACTAGTAAATCCAGATTTAATCTAGTCAGATCCGAAATTTATCGAATGATGCACAACTAGTGAATGCGAAATTAATCCGGCCTATATGTAAGTACCCAGTAAAAAAACTAATTCAGATAAATTGAATTGAATTTCATCGGTTGAGAACTTCAATTGAGTTTGGAAGTTGAATGCAGCTTTGGCGAATTCAGAAGAATTGCAACATAGCTCCAATTCGAATTCGTCGCTAAGCGGGATTCACTGAAGCCCAAGGTATATTTATTTCAATTCAACTAAATTAGTTTTCATTTGTTGGGTAGTAATTCCGGATTCAATAATTACGTTTGATCGCAGTAACTTTCAATTATACCAAATTCACTAGTTACACAAACTGATAAAATTTCGTAATTTGCCGAACTAATTTAGGATGAAAAAAACCTGATTGTTTAGAACTAATTAAAATGGAGCAAAACTGACTACCGTTTCATGTTCAACGCCCAAAATTTGTAGGGGAAGAGTAGCCTGCACTGAGGGACAAAGAGACTTTAATTATATGTGGAGCTATATAATAAAAACGTAAATCGAAATGAGACCAAAATAATTTGAAATTTGTACGTAAACAATCCGTAAATAGTAAAACTTAACGAGGAATAATTCGAAATCTTTATGTAAACGATCCGGATTTAGGCTTAGTTAAAAATCCTAATTCAAATGAGTCTAAAATAATCCAAAATTTATATATAGGGAATCCGGATTTAGTCTAACAAAAATCTTAGTACAAAATGATCCAGAATAATCAGAAATTTTAAGTGTTAAATCTTCAATTATTTTTAAATATAACGGATTCAGTCTGATCAAAATTATTTCAAACTTATTTCTAATTTAGATTTTTGTGCAGACTGTATGATAAATTTGTACATACAAAATACGGATTTTTCCAGGTTTATTTCGAATTAGGAAAATAGATCCGATTAAAACTGGATTATTCAAGACTAATTTAGGATTAAGTATTCTAATAAAATTTAATTCTGATTGTAACATACTGTTTGCGAATTATTGTTTACATACATATTTCAGATTATTTAAAAAATCATTTTTGATTAAGTTTCTTGTTACGGACTGATTTCAAAATTTGTCTTTTCATCCAGACCGTTTTCAGACGACTGTGGAACATTTTCATTAGACGTTATTAATTCAGGTGCATCACAAAAATTTTGACACTTTGCATCAAAATTAGAATGTATCACCCACAACGGAAGAGAAGCTTTTTCACATTGGTTCTGCAGGGTTACGTTACTGTAGCGCAGCGTTACAATTGCTAGTAAATGCTAGTAAAACAGATCACCCAAAAACTTTTCCGTGTAGCATCAGCCTATTGTCCAAATTTCGGATACGCATGCATCATTACTATGACAACCTCAGGTCCGTATCGTCAAACAATTGGTCCAGAGGTTAAGTAACTTTACTTTTAAAGTTTAATATTTATTTTGTTCCCTGAGGTTTTATCGCATCTTTAAACCTATCAAATTTTGGTGCAGGATTAACACCTTTTTTTAAGGTATTACAGCGGCTGTAATCGGATCCAAAAATTTAAAGCGCGCTTCACTATTCTTCCGCACTACGATTTTAGCGTTGATTGTGCTACTAATTAAATTCTTATTTATTGTTTATATTTTTGTTTTTTACACCTATTTGAAATACTAAGTCTTTAATGTGCATAAAAACAAAAATACATTATAGAAATTAAACAGAACAAAAAAGTTTTGATCAGTCCCATGTAATTTCTCTGAAGACTGAGGAGTTTTAAAATAGATAAAACTCGAATATTTTTGCACTTTATTAACCATAATATGTGAACCTGGTCCCCTAAAAAGATTTTTTTTTAATTGATGAGATTCGCTTGAAAGTTATTACTCAGAGGATTTCGGGGTCGCTGGTTGCAGTCAGATTTTTAAAAATTCAAAATGTCCTACTGAAAGTTTAAATTTTTATTGATTTGTTTGAGATTTTAATTTAAATTTTTAATAAATAAATTACTTATTCGAAAAATATTCAAAATTAATTGTATCAAAACTTTCGATATATAGAAAAAATCAAATTCGTGACATTTTTTGTTAGGTCGCTTATTATTGGATTCAATGAATTAATAATTAAAATTTAAACGAATTTCTTTAAAATTTGTTAATCTGGGATTTTTGAGTTGGTTGATTACAAATTTTATGTAAAAATTTACAAATTCTGGATAAAACATCCAATATGTCAGAAAAGGTTTAAAGTTTTTTGTATCATCTTTCATAAATTTGTAATATTACTTTGAATTTTCGAATGCTGACATTAGTAATTACCGACCTCTGAAAACCCGAGTAGAAAGTTTTAGACAAATCAGCGTGAATTTAAATTGTCCATCATTTTTGAATTTTGAAAATCTGACTTCAGATTCGAAATCAGCGACTCCAAATATTGTAGATTAATACTTTTCAGGTAAATTATTAAAAATTTGTATGAATTTTGAAAATAATATAAATATGCATTTGATTAAGTCAATTGAGTGATTTATAAATACAGGAAGCCATCTTTACCAAAAAATTGTGTACGAACCAATGTACCAATAAAAAGAAATATATTTTAAAATATTCTCTTGTGTGTAATGTTAATCATTTTTACAAAGAAGGAACAAGTAAATAAATATTTATTAATTAATTACTTAAACAGGCAATTTCGGCATCTTATACTTTATTTTTCAAACTATTTTTGGAGTTAAATTGAGGGTGTCCATGCATGGAGGGGACTAGATATAGTCCCATTATTTATTAGATCTAGTCTCCCCCGTGCAACTCAAAGTAGATATTACTGTTGGGACAGACAGTCCGATCGCCTAATGCACGAGCGCCCTTAATTATAGTAACGTTTTCAATTCACATTCTCCCCGCCAGCCTTGTTCAAATTAATTACCTTTTCACTACTTAAGAATAGGTTCAATGAGCTTAAACCTAAGTTCCAAATATCTTCAATAGAAGAACCTAATTTAGAATAGAACTAAAGATTTAAATAAAAATTTCTCCTAGTATTTAATTTATTTATGCATTGTTTTAGGGTGACGAAAAAGAGGATGGAAAAAATAGAAAAAAAGTTCCAGTTCGTACAATTGAGTTACCTATTGAATTACACAATGGTGGACTTTCTCAAAAGGAAATTGATGCAGCTACTGAAAAAGAGGTTTAGTATACAGATTCACATTTTTAATTAATCCTTCATTACTCCAGGGTTTCTACAAATCATGGAAATGTCATGGAAATTCATTTTGAAAGACTGGAATTTTTACGTTCGTTGAAAATGACCCATTTTCAGTATTTTAACTCTCTGCCTATACTAACTTATCCCCACTCTAACGCCATAGAACGTAATTCCCATAGTGAGTTTTAAAGTATCATGGAAATTTTATCATTTATCACCTGGAAATCATGAAATTTCGCGAAGAACAATTTGTAGAAATCCTATACTTTCATTTTGAGCTAAAAGTTTACAACTTTTTTTAAATTCCATTATGTTAAAAGATTAAGGTAAATGCCCCAGTACTCGTCACCTTAAGACAAAACCCATTTTTAAAATAAACAGTTTTAGAGGTTCAAGAAAATGATTTACTTGTCCGTATTTGATCCACTAATTTTTTTAATTTAACAAGATTCTAATAAGGTTATTGCATTGATCCTGCCTAATAAAACTAAGGTCTTTATAAACAAGTTAGGACAGTTCTTTTCTTTAGATAAAATTTCAAATTTAGCTAAGTTTTTAGCTTTGTCAATATTCATACCTCCCACTCCAAAAACTCGATCAAATCGAGGATTTAAAATTTTAAAGGCTTTCTCTGAAACAAAACATTCTGATCTTTGATCAAGTAAAATTCTAAATTGGTAAATATTAATTCTGGTCCAGAATAATTCAGAATTTGTATGTAAACTATCCGCAAACAGTACGCAACAATCCGGATTAAGTACTGTCAAAAAACTGAATCCAACATGAGTCCGTAATAATTTGAAATTTGAAATATTTATGTGGAAAATTCGGTATATAAATAAAGTAAAATTTTAATTAAATATTATTCAGTAAATTTCATTTTGTGTTTCTTTCATTGTTTAACTTTTTGAATAAATTTTATTAAAAATTTGGAAAATTTCTTTAAAATTTTAACAATAATTCAAAAATTTTAGATTTTTTGAAAAGTTATTATTTTAAATAAATATAATAAAAAAATTCTAAGAATTACTTTTTTACAATGATTACTTGATATATACTTTTTTTTAAAACAATTTTTTGTTTTGATTTTTTATTAAAATTTTTCATTTCATTTTCAGAAATAAACACATATGTAAAAATAATTTTTTATATGAAATTATACATTTGATTTAATTATTATTTAAATTAATCTAATTTGTTAAATCTAAATATTGAATAAAATGTTCAAAATAATCATTTCTCATATTTGCAAACTATATACTTAATACATACATATTGATAATATTACTATTACGTGATGAAACCCAATCGGTTATACTCGGCAATAACCGGATATTTTTCGTACATCATCGGTAAAGTTCGACCAATCGAATGCTACTAAGAAATAAAATTCCTATTTTCAATGTGAATGTTTTCAAAAAACAATTTTAGATGTTACAATAGCCAATTTTAAAATGAGCAATATTTTTAGCACCTCTGCTTCTTTCCAATAAAAATAGTAATATTTTTAAAACAGAGTGTAATATGTGAAATTTCAACTCTTACTTTTCATAATTATTCTAGTCAAAATTATTTTTGTGAATAACTCTTTTTCCCAATTTACAATTCATATAGCTTTTATTAATCATTCCAACTCCTTATTGTAATTATTAATAATATACTATACTTTTAAATGATACCGATAAATTTATTTTGTAATACAGTAGTAGAAAATAATGTCATTTTTATCACTTCATCCTCTCTTACTATTGGTTTTTTGTAAAAATAATTATTATAATATCAAATTTTACAAACTAAAGTGTCTCCGTGTAAAAGACATGTTGCCTTCTGACTAATACCCAGCAAACACTGTTACAGGTCAGTTATAGAACTGTTACAAATTTTTTGAGAACATGTTCTGTAACTGGTTAAGAATCTGTGAGTCACTGGTTACGCAAAATGTCGTACTCAGCGGATATGTAAGATTCTGTAACAGATCTAGAATATTTATTTATTTATTTATTTATTCAATACATGTCCCCGCGGTCCATTAAGGACCATAAATGGGTAACTATAGGATTACAGAGAAATTATCAATAGTTATCAAAAATGCTTACATATTTTCTCGTAAATTAATAACGTATTTGTTAAGTAAAGGAACAAATTTAGAATGATTTACATTAAATACATCGTAGTCGGGTCTCATAGTGTGAAAAAGTTGATTGATATGGTAACACGCGATTTGAATTGGGTAACGGTCAATTAGTTCTAAGTCATTTTTGTTAATATAAAAAGGTTCGTAATTTCGTGAACCAAGACGAGGTACTTTAAAGTTAATTAATTTCAAAAGAGTCGGGCAATCGACATGATAGTTAATTAGTTTAATCAAAAAAATACATGCAGAAACAATACGTCTTTCTTGAAGAGTAATAAAATTGAAACGCTCACATAATTGCAAATAATCGCTTCCTCTTGGAGGGTATGCCCCTTCTACCTTGAAAATTAAGAACTTAAGGAAACGCTTTTGAATTTTATCAATTAAGTCAGAGTACTTTTGAAAGTATGGAGACCATATAATAGATGCATATTCAGCAGGAGATCGGACAAGGGTATTAAATAGGAGAGAAATGGTGTTAATGTTAGAAAAATTTTTTGAGCATCTTAAGAGAAAACCAAGGACTTTAGAGATGCTCGATAATAATATAGATATGTGGTCGGTAAAACTGAGGTCATATTTAAAATTGACACCAAGGTCACGTATAGACGTGACTCTAGTTACTGTAACATTATTAATTTTATATGGAAAAATAAATGGAAAGCCAGATTTATTAAAAGATAGAATTTGACACTTTGTTAAGTTTAATGATAATTTATTATTACTACACCAGGTCGAGATCGTGTCTAGGTCTTTTTGTAAAATATCAGCATCATGAGAGGACATGACTCGACGGAAAATCTTGACGTCATCAGCAAATAAAAGTATTAAAGATTTTAAATTAGTATCAATGTCATTAACATATATAGTGAATAAAGGTGAACCGAAAGATGAACCTTGAGGTACTCCACGTTGTGGTACAAAAATAGGAGAACAAAAGTTTCCGACAACAACTCTATGGGATCTATCCTGAAGATAATTAATAAGTAACTTATTTATATTGGTAGGAAGGTTTAAAGAATCTAATTTTTTGTTTAAAATTGTGTGATCTATAGTGTCAAAAGCTTTAGCGAAGTCTAAATAGATTACATCAACCTGATAACCATGCTGTAAGGATTTTTTATGGTTTTTTTATTTTTTATGGAATATGGTTACAAATGTATTTGTAACAGTTCTAGAACTGTTTTGTAACAACTATAAAATGGTACATAACCATTGTCGCAAGATTATTACCTAAAAATACATGCAAAATATTTTTATTCTTAATAAAAATATTAAAACTTGATGTAATAGAAAAAGGAAACTCTAAAATAAACATACACTGAAAAAAAATTATTTGGATCAAATAAAAAGTATTTGATCCAAATACACCATTTACTTGTCTATTATCCAATAATTTTTTTTTATCCAAAATACATTTTTGATATTTTATTTTCATTTAATAAAATAGTGTATTAACATTAAATAACGCATTATTTATATTAAATAATTTAGTTGGTTAGAATCAATAAAATAAATTTATTGTTTCAAATACTTTTTATTTGTATCAAAAAAATGAAATATTTGAGTGAAATAAATAAATTAATAGTTGCAAGTAACGCATTATTTTCGTTTCAAATTATTATTTAATTGATTGAAATATTTTTTAATTTGTCTTCATTAAATAGTGTATTAGTATTAAATAATTTAGTTGACTTGAATCAATGAAATAAAGTTATTGTATCAAATACTTTTTATTTGTTTCAATAAAACGAAATATTTGAGTGAAATAAATCAATTAATTGTTTCAAGTAAATCATTATTATCGTTTCAAATAAATATTTAATTGATTGAAATATTTTTTATTTGTCTCGATAAAATAGTGTATTAGCATTAAATAACGAATTATTTATATTAAATAATTCAGTTTATTTGAATCAATTACATAAATTTATTGTGTCAAATACTTTTTATTTGTATCAAATAAACGAAATATTTGAGTGAAATAAATGAATGAATAGTTTCAAGTAACTCATTATTTGTATTAAATAAATTGATTTATTCAATTCAATTAATTATTTAATTGAACCAAATACGATTTATTTGGTTCAAATAAATGCGATTCAAATAATTCAAGTTATTTGAATCAAATACATATTTTTTTGATCCAAATAAAAAGTATTTGAACCAATTAAATATTTTTCAAATAATTTGAAGTATTTAAATCAAACAAATTTTTTTTCAGTGTAGTTAGAACAGTGTCAAATTTCAACTGTTCTATAGCAATATCGCTCCACAGGCTAATACGCTAACCATTACGCTACCCTAACATGGGAATATAAATACAAAATTGATTTGATAACTTGCGACTGAGGAGGATTTAAAAACTGTATTGCTTATATAAAGAAAAAACAATAAGACTATGTGATATATAAAAATTTTAGAGTTTTTTAAATTTAACTACATACTTAAGTAAAATGAACTATTTATTTATTAATTCCATAGAAAATAGTTAAGGTACTTATGAACACTTCAAAATTTTTAATCTCAGGTACAAATATATTCCAGAACTGAACTTGATCAAAATTTTAGAACAGTTACATATCATTGTTCCGATATAGTTCTAGATATGCGATGGAACATTAGTTGCAGAAAATTTGTGGCTATAGAGTTGTAGAAATGTTATGTAACACTGTTGCAGAATTGTTCCGATTTGTAGGTACAAATGTCATCCAGAACTAATCTGCAACAAAATTTTAGAACAGCTACATAACATTTTACGGACACAGTTCTAGAACTATGTTGGAACGTCAGTTACAGATCATTTGTGATGATTGTGTTACAGAAATGTTACATTACATTGTTATAGAACTGTGAAGTTCGCATATAATATAGAACAGATCAGTAACTCCCTTGTAACAATGTTCTAGCATTCTGTTACAATGAGGTTATATAACAGATTCATAACCAGCTTGTAACAAATTTGTCCTCACTGTTATATAACATTTATAGAACGTGTTTGCTGGGTAGTGACTACTTTGGTTAATATTTCGGAATGTGGAATTAATCGGAGACAATCCGCTTTAGAGTCGGGTTTCTATTATTCGGAATGCGAAAGAAGTGAGTGTAGAATGTTTAATCCTTGAAAATTAATTTTTTACCAACTAGAATCATTTTTTGTGTCATATAATAGTCCGCAGAGCTTTAGTGCGTAAAAAATGTTAATTTTCTAGGTTTAAACCTATATGAGTTATGTAAACTCAAAGCTACGATAAAAAGTAGCTCAAAAATTGGGACGAGAACTTTTAAGTGGTCAAATTAAGCATTTATTTCTGCAGTGAGCCTTTGATACTACATGTTAATTGAAAGTTGCGTTAAAACACAGTATATTCAGTTTTTCAAAAATTTTATTAACCTTTAAAGATACACACTTAAAAAACACACGCAGCTGGCTTCAAAATTTAAAGTAAAATTAATATTTAAAACAAGTTTAATAATTTAACAATAATTTATGGTTACCGGGTGCCAGTCGACTGTCGATTTTAAACGAAATTTTATAAAACCGATTTTCTATATTACGGAATATTTATTTAACACAAAATTCATTTAACAGAATTTTCATTTCTTCGAATTAACTTCCATCAGATTTTTTTGAGTGCGGATTATAAAATTAACTAATCAGAAATAAACCAGAAATTTTTGATTCGTTAATTTTAAAAATTACGCTGAAATGTTTCGTCTAAAATAAAATTATTTATGTTATGCTATTATTATGTTTTAATTATTTGGCTAATAATTATCTGAACATTTTTGAATGCTTTAATTGATTATATAAAAAACTTTCTAGGGAAAAATGGTCGCTGATGATAAACAAGAAAAAGAGCGTATTGATGCAAGAAATGCACTAGAAGAATATGTATATGATCTGCGTTCAAAACTCTTGGATGAGGACCAGTTATCAACTTTCATAGTTGAAGCCGATAGAGTAGAACTTTGTAGTATATTAGATGAAACAGAAAATTGGTTGTACGAAGAAGGAGAGGACTGTCAACGACAAGTTTACTCAGAAAGATTGTCTTCGTTGAAAGTAAGTTTCAAGTAATAAAAAAAATTTCATAATAACGAAAAAATACTAATTAAATTCTTATAATTTAATAGCTAAAAGGTGAACCAATTAAGGAAAGAAAAATGGAATTTGAAGGTAGAACTCATGCACTGGAAGAATTAGGTGGAGCTCTTCAACTAGCTAAGAAAGGTTTAGATCAAATTAAAATCTCTGCTGAAAAAGATGACAAGTATTCTCATATAACTGATGAGGAAATTAAAAAATTAGAGAGAGCTATCCATGAAAAATGGAATTGGCTTGAAGAAAAACGTGCAGTTCTTTCTAGTACACCTCGAACTCAACAGCCTCCAATTCTTGTAGCTCAAATTCGATCTGAGAAACAGGTAATTTTAAAACATTATTACAATTACCAATGACAATTTTTAACCATATAATTTTTTTTAAATTAAAAACTATGTTAATATCTCTGGAGGTGATTAGCAATTTTCAATTTCATTTCCTCTAAATTTGTTTAAAACTTATTACGAAAATATTTAATTTAAAAATTATTTCAGTCATTGGACAACACTGTTTTCTCTATTTTGAATAAACCTAAACCAAAAGTTGAGCATCCAAAAGAAGAAAAATCAAAAGAAAAATCAACTGATGAACATAAAAACACTCAAAATGATCAAGGAGACAATGAAACGCATAGCAATCAGCAGCGGCAACCGAATGAAGATAATATGGATGTGGAGTAAATTTTACGAACAATTGAACCAATAATATAAATTTAATTTAAAAAATTAATGTCAACAGTTTTTCATGCGAACAAGTATTATTTCTTATCTACAACGTATTGTACTGATTATTATTATTATTATTATTTTATCGCAACTTAAAAATTTTCTTTGCTAAATAATTATAGCATCTTCAAATTATTAATTTAATCAGACATACTTGACTTTTTCTTGATATTTTCTATTAGAAAATTAGTAAAATGAGTTGTTCCAGTTTTGTATTCGTATTTTTTTAATTTTTATCACATTAATAAAACCATTGGCGTTAATAATAAAATTATTGCTTGAAACTGTAGTTATGTTATTAATTTTTTATTTCTTCATTATATTATGTCCATTTTAACTTTTTTCATTTATTAAAAACCAAAATATTTATCATTTTTTTGCACTTGAAAAAAATTTAACTATTTAAAAAAATTTGTAATCCACATCATTCATTGCTTTTCTGCTTAATGATAAAATCCAGCAAAAAATTGTTTTAATTTCCTCACTTTTCACTGATCTTCCTTATCTATTTTCTTTCAAAAAGATTACATTTTTTTTCTAGATTCTATAACATTTGTTTATCTATTTTCATATTTTGTTGTTTTTATCATAAACATTGAATCTTGAGTTTTCTTTTAAAGAAGCAATGTTTTATAAGACAAAAATTGCAACGGATTTTGTATTTAAAAGAATAATATAAATTAAAAAATAATATGAAACTTAGAAACCTCAAAAAAAAAAAAAATTATACATAAATTTACAAATAGAAATAAGACAGAAAATAATTAAAATTCGATAGAAAATAACGTAATAAACGAAAAGAGAAACAAAAATTTAATGAAAAAAATTTAATAATATATATATTAATCACAAGAAATTATAAAATTGACGGTTCCATACAATAAGCAAAATTGTAACCGCGACACACTCACTTTTCTTACTTCTCGAATGAATTAAAACATTAAAACGAAACAAAATTATACAAATATCAAAGACACATATAAAAATTATAATTTAAATTATTTATTAAAATTATAAAAAATTAATTAATTACTAGTATTATTTATTAATTTTTTATACGCTTTTTTATAGTTTTAAGAAATCCGTCATAATATTGGTTTTAAAAGTTTCAATTCTCTTATAAAAATAAAAAAAATTTTTAATAGTAAATTCAGGAAATGAAAAGAAGTTTTGTAAAAAATTTTGTTATTGTAAATTAATTCATAAACAACAGAAATCTTTTATTCTTAAAACTTTTTTCGCTTTGTCAATAAACGTCAAACCTTATTAAATTAAAAAAATTCCTTTTACAATAAAACTAATTCTTTTAACCATTAAAGGACTTTTTTTAAAAAAGAAATTAGTTTTATGTTTAATAAATCACTTTTCTCAGTGTTTCACAATTTTAAGTATTTTTCCACACTTTTTTATGATTCTTCAGAATCTTTCGTATGGATTTTCAAAAAAATTTAAATTTTTTCAAAAAGTAAAAATTCTAAAATGGTCAAAAATTAAAATTTTGATTTTTTGACCATCCTGTATGTTTTCAGAACTGAAATGATGCAAGAAAAAAAAATATAACTTCTTGCCATCATTAAAATTTAAGGACTCAAAATATGACTCCCCTTAAAATTGTCACTTTAATTTTCAAAAAGATACAAAAGAAATATTTTATAAATAAGCACACTAGAAAAGAAATAAAATTTAATATTGAAATTCATGTAAAAAACCGCACCTCCGGGCTGTCGGCGACACGCAGAGAAGTGGTTACTAATCTACACCAACACGGAAAGTAAGAAAAATCGCTTACAAATAAAAAAAGAAAATATTGTTTTATAAATATAGCATTTTATTTTTGAATTTCATTTACAAAAAATTGTAAGTCTTATATTCTTTCATTGAATAAACTAATTTTCTTTTAATTTTATTCCTTTTCGAAGTAAATCTGATTTTGCATCTTCTGTTTGCTGTAAAGAAAAATAAGAACAGTAAGTAAAGTCAAGTTCTAATATTCGACTAAGTTTTGTCTAAGTTACGTGAACTAAAATTTCGTTATATATTTATTAAACTTACCTTTTTAAGTTCGAGAGATGCAGCTTGACAATTATTAAACGTGAATACCCTGTAAAGTACTACAGAAGCTGCACAAAATACAAAAATCCCTACATATAAAATACAAATTAAAATCTTAGAATTAATTGGAAAATTAAGGCCGACATGTGAAACGATCTTTTCCGAATTAATTAGTAAAAATGTTAACGAAATGAACACGACCAATGTTCGTAGTAACCAATGCATAAGATTTGACATCTGAAACAAAAAAATTTTTTTAATTGTAATTTAGGGTCAGTTGGGGTAAATGGGGACGAAATCGCTATTTTCACAAATTACGTAAGTTTCTTCCTTTAAAAAGTAATATTTGCAGGTTTATTTTTTTTTAAGTTGTTATTTACATTTACCCCAAAATTTAGAAAATATCATAAAATTTGGGGTAAATGGGGACAGCATAGTTTCTAAAAAAGTTTTAAGGAAAAAGTTTCTTTAGGTATATTATACTGTATTAAGGGATGAAAAAACTTGAAAAAAATTTCTAGTAGATATATAATAGTTGAACCAATTAAATTTTTTTATTTTTTTTATTATTTTTTTATTTCAGTATTTTGTCTCGCATTTGAAAAAAACAGAATTAAAAATCATACCAAATTTTTTTCTTATTCCTTATGACTTCCATAACAGAAATTAACTTGAATTTTTGTTAATTTGGTTAATAATGACAAGCTGTTTGACTTTGATTTTCAAGTTTTTATGCATTGAGCGATAACTTTTTTTATCCTGCTGACAATTGTCAAGATAAAAGCTTGGCAATACTCAAAACCTCTTGCAGGTGATCTGAGGTTAAAATATTGACGTTGAACGTAATTTTAAACTGTAAATTGAGCTCCAAAACCTCTTGTCCCCATTTACCCCAACTGACCCAACACGTGTTTGAAATAATTTAAGGCATAATAAACAATCGTATCAAGTAGTTAAAGTTTCAAATTCAAATTTCAGGCTAAAAAAATGTCAATATTTCAAATTTTGATTTTTCAAATTTTTGAGCATGGCATTCAAATTGCTTATGCATTGCTGAAGAAAAAAAATTTTTTTTAAATTAAAAAATATGTTATCTACAAGAAATATTAATCTTGCTGGATTTAGAAAATTCATTAGTTTTTCTGGGTATTTGAAAAAATTTTCACTTCTATTGAACTCAAAAAATTTGTATTTAAAAGCGAAATCTAGTATTAAAAAGTTCCTTTATTTCTGTACAACTCAAATATTTATAAGAAATAAATTAAAGGGAGGCATCTACTTTATTTTGACCCCTTCAAATTTTAATGATCCGCAAGATGTTATATTTTTTTATTGCATCATCTGGGTCATAAAAACATGAAAAGTGGTTAAAAAAAGATAATTTTGACAATTTTTTATCGCTAATATTTTTACAAGCTTTTTGTAATGATTTCTTAGCTCTCGTATGGATTTTCAAAAATTTTAATTCAAAAAATGAGTTGATATTTAATTAATCTTTCTTCTTCAATATTAAACTACTTTACCTCCATGAAGTTGGCGTCGACGCTCAGCGCCGAAAATTGTTTTTCACAGGACAAAAAATGTAAAATTATTTTCAAAAAATAATTTTTGGTCCAAATAATGCCTTGAGAAATACTTTTCAAAGTATTATTTTGACCCAAATCCTTTTTAAAAATGAGATTTCATATTTTTGATCCCTGAAAAGTAATTTTCGACGCTGAGCGTCGGCGCCAACTTCATGGAGGTACTACTTTTACAATTTTGACTATTTTTCATCGTCAATTATTTTGCACCATTATCTCTCGTATAAAAAATTTTTATTCTTAATTTTCTTTTTTTGACCACATTGTATGTTCTTAGGACCTGAGTGATGCAATAAAAAAAATATAACATCGTACAATCTCGAAAATAATATTAAAACCAATAAAAATTTTTTTAATCAAAATCTTGAGAATAAAAATACAAAAAATAACAATTAAGGCATCATAACCTTACTTGAATTATTGTTAATTTAGATAAAAAAACAAATGCAAACACTAAAGACTAACTTCATGTGTATAAACAAAAAACAGAATAATAACATAACGTTTGTCATTTGTATATATAAATAATATAATAATCAACTCGGAAAAAAGACATAACCTTTTTAAATTTTTTTACGTGAATCCTGAATTTTTAGTAGTTTTAGAGTTTTTTAAGTAAATAATATTTAAATTAGGTGTTTTTTAATTTAAATGTATTCGACTCTTATTGTTTGGATCTTATTCAGTAAAATTTTTATTTTCTGTAAAGTACATATTTGTTTGTTTAACGAATTATTAAATAAAAAATTTACTGAAAAGGACATGTACATTCATTATACTTTGGTAACAAAATAAACAAAAATTTCAAGTTTTTTTACGGTTATGTTAGACAAATACATGTCAACTCTGCTATAAGGATATATATTTTTTATTTTTTAAATTAATTTAATTATTCCTAATTCAATGTACAAAATTTACATATGTTTAGGATTAATTTCACATATGTAATGATAAGATTACAATTTAAACTACTTACGTTTCACTTCACAGCGGCTACAGCATCAGATATATTTTTGTTTTTGACAAACGTCACCAAACGCTACTGCGCTTGCGCTACTATTAACTCTCTCATTCGTAGAAAAAGGCGTTCTTATTTAAAATACTTTAATATCAAAAAATGTTTAGAAAATAATAAAAAATATTATAAATGTTAAATTTATTATTTTTATGTTTAATTATGTTTTCTAATCAATATTAATTTTTATAAACTATTTTGAGATTAATTTTCAGTAGAAGGGCATTTCCATGAAAAAGCGGACATTCTGTCCGTGCGTCACGATGCCTAAATTTGTCTGTAACTTTTTTTGAAATTATTATAAAATAAAATTTTTTTTCGATGCAAAAACATAAGAAAATAGAAACGTTTCCAAAAAATTTTTTGATTTTATAAAAAGATACAGCCGTATTAGTCATCGTGACGCACGGACGAAAATTCAATTGTTCTCGTGGAAATGCCCAGAAATAACTTTGTTAAGTGTAAAATTGGCTTTTGTGTATAAAAATCATATTACATTCTTACAAAATTCGTATGAGGAATCGGTTCCCAAGGCCACAAAAATTTATAGCGAAAGTACGTAAGATATTTGGTGGAAAATTTCATAATTATTTACTTTGTGGAAAATACAGAAAAAAAATTTTCCCACGCTTAAAAAATAATAATCTCTGAAGATTAAAGAGACAAAAAAAAGTTTCCTTCTGAAAATCAAGGTGGATTTTTCTTCATATTTCGTTTAGTAATTCTTATGAAACCGATTCCTTGTATGAATTTCAAGTGAATTTTATACGAATATCCATTTTAATTTTCGAACGAAATTTTAGAAACAAATTTCAGTCATTATTCGTTTGATAAAACGTTTCAAAATTCCACACGAATTCCAATTGAAATTTCGTGTGAAATCAGTACGAATTTAGTACAAAATTCGTCCAAAAACCGTACATCTCATTTTCGCGTGGGTAAACACCGTTAACTCATCACAAAAAAATTCTACACAATAATAAAATTTAAAAGCAAATTAATTAATATTCTAAATAAATATTATAAAATATAATTCTATAAAATAAATTACATGCTGCAAAACCCTATACAATTAAATCTGTACACTGCAATAAAAATTGGAATTTTTTTTTAAACTATTAATATTATTATACAAATAAATTATACATTTTCAAATTCTGCACGAAAAACTCTATAGAACTAATTTTAATTTCTTAGATTCTTCACAGCTGACATCACAACTTTTGTTTTAATTGAAACAAAAAACAGATTTACCATGTCAAATGTGTAGGATCTAAAAAATGACAATTGCGTGAAATTTTTCGTTCAGAATTTTATTGTGCAAAATTTTAAAATGTATAATTTATTTGTATAATAATATTAATAGTTTTAAAAAAAATTTTCCAATTTTTATTAAGGTGTACCGCCACCTTTATTTCGCAAAGGTTTTTTTAATTTAATAAAATAATTACAAAGTAAACGAAAAAATCGTTTAAAATTAATTAATGAACTTTCTTAATTGGCTTATTTGAGTAGAAAATATAAATGAACCGTTCGCTGAAAAAACGGCTTAAGTCAACTTAAGTCGTATTTTAAAAAACTGTTTCTATCGTATTGTTTATCATATAAAGTATAATAATCAATTAAAATTGTTGATTTAATAATCATTTTAAAGTTTTAATTCGAATTTTAAACTACGCGCAGGCCGAATGTATGTATGTATGTATTGAAAAGTACGTGAAAAATTTCATAAATTTTCCTATTTAGATAGTAAAATCCACAGTTTTTTCCTGGAATCTTCCAGGAATATTCGGCATATTCCACTGGAAAATGCTGGAAGGTCCCTGGAAAACATTAAATGTCCACCTGCTCTTGAATATTCCGGGAGAATTTGGTGGGAAGAAGTTATAGGAATAGTCCTGGAATATTTTTAAGTTTTCTTTCAGGAAGATTTTACAAAAATATTCAGAGAAATTGCGTACGAAATAATTTTTAAAAGTATTTTTAATAATCGGTATACATCTTATACATCATTTAAAAATTGTTTTGATAATCTCTTTTGGACATGTTCTATAATTTTTCTTGAATTTTCATATTATTCTTTTACATAAGTTCCCAAAAATAATTTTAAAAAGTATTTCGTACGCAATTTCTCTGAATATTTTTGTAAAATCTTCCTGAAAGAAAACTTAAAAATATTCCAGGACTATTCATATAACTTCTTCCCACCAAATTCTCGCGGAATATTCCTTCGGAACATAGAAGAGCAGGTGGACATTTACTGTATTCCCGGGACCTTCCAAGCATTTTCCAGTGGAATATGCCGAATATTCCAAAAATATGTCACTTAAAACGTAAAAACTCACACCAACTTTCTACAATTTTTTTTTAATGAGCTAATATTTTAGAGATTTGATACTATCATACAGGGCAACAATTAACCAAAGTTACATTACTATCGACCTGGACAGTTCAAGAATTTTTTCCCATATATAAATTTTTTGAGCACAAAAGTACCTACAAAAATTTTTGAAATTATTCTGGCGTACAATTAATATTTTTCGTTTTATATTGCAAAAACTAATAAAATTGTAGGGACAAATTTAAGTTTTAGCCGTTTCTTAGGCTGAATAGAAAAAAAAGATATCTTCAAAGTTAATTACTTTAAATTTAACCTATTTTTCAAACAATAATTTAAAATTATTTATTTAAATGAATTGATTAGACACAATTTAAGAGTATTTTGCGAATTTATTTACTTTAATACAAATTTGACATTCACTCACAGTGTTTACTTGATTAGAAACAGGACGTCAATTACTCACTTGCTCATATTTTATTACAAAAAAAAGAATCTTTCACACTCTTACGTAACATACGTGAAAATATCTGTTGTATGTCCATCACAATGTTAATTAATTCTGTAACTCGAACCCCTGGCACTTTTACCGATTATGATTAACTAGCGCTTCAAGTATGGCATAAAATTTAGAAATTATTATTGTGATAATACATATATCAGCACATTAATTTTTTTGAAATTGTAACCAAAAGTTACTATTTTTCCGTTTAAATTCCATTCAATGGTCTTTATCAAAATATCTAAAACACTAAGTAATACACTGTTATAAAAAAATAAAATAAATGACAGGATGTAAAATTATTGACAAAAATTATCTGCTACCATATATAAAAACCTAAAAAGTCTTAAAAGGACTTAAAAAGTTCATGAGTCTTAAGAAAACTTTTAAATATTCTGTTCAGTTTTCTTCTTCTTCCTCCTCCTCTTCCTGTTCATCTTCTTCCTCACCGGTACTCTCAGGTTTTTCCTCTACTTTCTTTGCCCTGCCACGACCACGTCCCGAAGATGGAGCTGTTCCTTTCGCTGCTCCTGGCTAAAATTTTTTTATAATTTTTCATTAGATTCATTTTTATTTATCACAATATAATTTACAAATTTAATAAAATGTTTTAATATCTATTTTAAAACGAATGCAAAAAATGTAGATTTCGCTTTACTTTTTGGATGCATTTCTAATAGCCTCGAGTATTATAATCAGCGAAAATGCCTTTTCAACTTTATTAATTCTATTAAGAATAATTCTTAAACAAATTTTTCAGGTTTGAATTCAGCAAAATAGACATTTAAACAAATTTTGCAATTTCTTTTTTCTTTACTGTTTTTCAAGTCTGATTTATATATTAATTCAAATTCTCTGTAAAAATATTTAGATGAAATGAAATTTTTAATTTCAAAAATGTAATTTAAAGTTACTAGAAAGTAATTTATTTAAATATAAAAATTCCATCCAGTGATAATAATAATCATAATAAAACAACTTTTTTGTATTTTTAAAGTAATTATTAGATTTTTAAATAAGTTTTTGTGAATTATTATGTGATTGTTAGGTCTACAATGTAAATTTCATCGGGAACTTTACTCTTAAAATATAAAATGTGTATATATCTTAAATATAATGATGGACGAATGTTTATGGGTGATTTCACTTGAGATTTACCTGTGATATTTTAAATTTGGATAAACTTTTTTTTTTCGTTCTTCGTAGAAAAAAAGGTATACGTATTATT